GTTTGCGAAATGTCGCGTCTCGTCTGCGGAATATTGCCTAATGGGGCGTAATATCGGGCGAGCAAACAAGTCGTTTCTTGAATAGCGGAAGACCACTTGAATTTCCATCGTTCGTTCACCTCATGCACGTTCCAAGCTGACACCGCTTGGCCTCGGGCCGATTCGGCCGTCCGAACGAACCGTTTCACAGTTGTGCAGGTCACTGCGAAACGATTGTCTCGTGACACCGTCGATCCCCTCGAATGGCAATCGCTCGGATTAAACGTTCGCCCCGACGCGACGTTCAACGAAATTCTCCAAGCTTTAACGACCGTGTGCCCGCGAAATCGCGCCCAGCGTTCCAACGATTTAGCCAAGCTCCATGATTCAAACGAGTTCCCGTGTGTCGTAGAAAACGTTTCGTTCGATGTTTCTTTCGATTAAATTTCCATGGGGAATTAGATTTCGTAATTGCAGAAAGAGTTAATAGCTACGTTATGAAACACTGATCGCACGCGGATGAAAATATTGTAAATACTTGGGAATTTTTATACAAATTCGTTCTTCCACGCAAGTATTGCTTCAGACCATTTCACCTAGACTTGTCTCGAATTTTATCGAAGAACGCGTTGGACAAAAGTTGAATCACAGCTAGATTATCGCAAAAAATACCTTCTTGTACAAAAGAAACGTTGTAAATATCGGTACTTTAAAATAAACTAACGATATGAATAATTAAATACAAATTTCAATTGTATCGCTAAGCTTATTTAACTATACACTTAATTTGAAAGTAGCAGATAGATCTCTCAATTTAGCAACGTACAAACGTTTCAACATAATACACGCTGTATCTTATGATAATATGTGTGGCTTTTACTAAATGCAGCTAATTACCAAAATCCTGTTCGAATCTAAGAAGCGGAATCCTCCACGGATTATGGCGGCATAATGCGGTGGACAGTATGTATATCCGCTGTGATCATCTCTGCAGGACTGGAATTTCGAATTCGAGTCAGCAACGATGCACCAGTGGGACTAACCTTGGGAGAATAGTTAGCCCTTTGACCGCTCTACCGGTCGCGTTACCACGTTTCCAGTCAAATTACATAATGGTGATAAGCAAAGACATTTCCTGTCCTACACTCTAATTCGTTATTCAGCCGGAGGACACGCGGTATTATCTAACTCACGAGCGAGTCACATTCGTGTCATTCTTCGAAGTCTGTCCCGCAATTCCTTCAGTTCCGAGATCTGATTTCAACTTTCTACCATCTCCAATTCCTGTTGTTTGTCTTTACGATAACTGTCAGCTTTGCCATTTCGTTTATGGTTCAACCATACTCTTTCGTTCAAAATTTTCCGTTTGATATTCGGATAAATGTCTGACTGAAACGTGGCTCAATTTATCGAGTCACTATGGTGACGGTTGATGATTATTCGATCGTGGGATAGAGCTGTTCCACGCAGAATAGCGTGGAATTACTATTTCTGTACAGAATGTTCCACAGGTTTTTGTAGCACGTTCCGTGATCAAAAAATGTAATCAAAAACCTATGTAATTCCGTTACATAGATATAATTTGCAGAACTGCGTCAATTTCTTCGAATGTATTATATCGAACCAAATTCATGCGTCTTCGCAGAGATGTCGGGCATCATTGAATAAATTTTTATTTGAATAATTATTTCAACGGAGAGTCATTTGTTATTTATAAGTGAAAATATAAAAACAGAAATAAATTATTTGTTATTTCGAGAAGTCTAAATACATTATTTAAAATAATGAGACTAATTGTTATTTACAAATATAATTTCATTTTTTATTTATCATCTTTACTTATTTTCATTTATTATTTATCATCTTTACTTATTTTCATTTATTATTTATCGATTATTAAGCAAATTAATTTTTACGCAAATATAACATTTCTGCAAATTACAATTTGTAATTTTTAATAACGTTCGTTAGCTATGACGAATACCCCAAGATTGAATTGACTTTCAGACAGCTTGTTCGAGAAGCGAGTAATTTTAAAAGCAAACGTGGACTGTGATGTATCTATTGAAAAATAACCGTATCGACTCCACGATTTTTTCATTGTACAGAATGAAACGGATAAGACGAAACCAAAAACTACTTATCCATATATCATCATTTGTTTTTCAGTTAAAACTGCAGATGAAATTTCATTTCTATGATGATGAAATCTATTTGCGAATAGATAAGAAATAAATCATTTTTCGCATCGTTTTAAAATAACTTTTACCTAAATAAGATAATTAATTCTTATTCACAAGTGAAATATCACTTTAATTTGTTATTTACTATTTATTAAGTATTTATACATTTATATTATTATATATATTTGTATATATTTATTACATGTTATATATTACTAGGTAAATAAAATTTTGCCCAGCACTGTTTCCCAGCCACTGCGAAACTTACATAAGATTCTAACACCAGTTTGAAACACTGTTTGTTCCTAAGCGTATTTCTACCCGCGGCGTATGAAAATTTATTCGACCGTGATTCTGTTTATCTTCAACGCGTATTCACTCCTCCGCTTATACACAATTTACACGCGAAATCGGATAACCAACAACAATATACAAACCGCGTGACATCTCCTGAACTTCCAAATCCTATTTTATCTCTTTCCCAACTGCAAAACACTGACGCCTCCAAGTATGAATCCGCAAAATTATTAGCAATCATTCTACAATGCAGGTCGTGTTCCCACGAAACTTCAAAATTCTGCGAATCTGCTTGCTCCGCAAGCTCTCGAATTGCTCCACTTTTCGAAGTACACGGATCATTACACTTGGGACAGAGGTAGGCCGTTATTATCATCTCCCCCCCCCCCTCCGCGAAGCAATTTGTTCCATTCTTGCAGGTTCTAGCGCAGGAAAAGGGCGTTACGGAGGATCAACGTCACCGTGGCGAATTGTGCAGCCCCTTATTAGCCGGTATCGCTAGAGTTTCGGTGTTTTTGGCGTTAATCGCGTTCCCTGCTGCCTCTCAACCCTTGGCAAAACACTCCGGTTCCGTTGTTCCGTAAGTCGGCGAGACAGTAGTAGGCTGTGAGTCTGTAGGAGAGACGTAAAGCAAAGGCTGCGAGTGCGCTAGTAAAAGGCGCCGCCTTGAATGCCGTCGAGTGAAAGGAGCTCTAGGAAGAAAGAGAGGGAGATGAGAGAAGGTTGCAGGAAGAGATAGACGCAGGAAGACGGCGGACGCTCGTCCTCAAAGCTGGAATGCCGCAGGCGTTCGTATACGTTCACCCTGATAGCATGCAACCACGCCAGTGGCTCTCGTTATTCATCCACAGACGCGACATAGCGTGTCCTCGAGGATCCTGTTTGTTGGAGCATCTGTCAGCCCCATCAACTGACCGCCAAGTTCCGTCGACATTGTTTCGGTTTACTTTTCTGCTCCGTTTGCTTGCACCGAGCTTTGTCCACCGGGAACGTGATCGTTTCGTGATCTTGCCAACGAGGCAATGATGAGACAACGAGTAAACCTTTCCGTATTTCCCAGCTTGGTATAAGGTGGATCTAACGTCGAAGATGGTGGTCGTGGATGGTACAAAATAGAAATTTTGATTTCGAAGAATATCCTTCATGGAGCTTGATGGAGTTTGATGAAACTTGAGTAACGTAAAATTGCGAACGTGTCACTTCGATGACAATAATTTGCTATTTTTTTTTTTTTTTTTTTTTTTTTT